CAGGCATTTTAAAAATCAGTTTTAAAAAGTTTAAGAGGGAAGAGGTTCAGTAGCCTTACCAAATCTTTTACATGTGTAATAACAGTCCAGCAGATTTACAAAGTTATTTTTATTGCCACCACAACCTCCATAGACGAAGCTCTTACACGTATTGCTCTTGTAATCGTAGTAAAAATTCTCAAAGTCTTCATTACATTTTCCCTTTTTGGGTGGTAGTTTGCATTTTCGAGGCATAAATACTGGGAGGAAAGAAAAGGGGAAAAAGAAAAAAAGGTGTGTCAGACACATTAATATGTCTTATGAAAAATGAAGATATCAATTTTGAGTTACATCTGAAGTGCTTTAAGCTTATTTTTGAAAGAAAGAAATAATAATAATAATTTAAAACAATGTTTCCGGATTTCCTGCAAAATGGCAGGTCTTCATTGACTTCATGAATAACTAGCTGAGTCCTACCACAACATGATTCACTGATTCCTGAATAAAACCATGGGAAGAACGGGGCAGTTCTGAGCTATAAACTCATTAAATGCCTGGATTCACACAACACATGAAACCACAAAAACTAATCAGTAGATTATAGATGTGTGACTCACCCATTTGAGTGCGTTTTGCTTGTTGTGATCTGGTTAAGTAGGTTTCTATGATACACTTTACTGCAGTTCACTAGACCATATTCATGAATGATGTTATCTGCATTCACACAACACACAGTCCCATCAACTAACCACCCAAGTTGGGTTTTTGTTCAGAACATTAGGCCATATTGTGTTAAACCAGATTGTGGATGAGTGCAGCTAAGTGCATAAGTGAAAAATGACAGAGCCTCTCTCAAAGTGTTCTGCAACAACTTTGCTCAGCACAATGACTAGTTATGGTTCTCAATCTGTGGTCCACTCCACAGATCTCTGGTTGGGCTTCGATGTTGTAAAGGCTTGAAGAAATGTTATGATTTAAATGTTGAGTTAAGCCTTGTTGGTCCAGGGCCACAAAAGGTATTTGAAGGGGGTCCATGGTGCAAAAATGTTGAGAACCACAGGTTTAGACACTTCCCAATCCACTTAGTTATTTATAAAACTTTCCTTTGTTTCACATGAAGTGACAATCCACCCGTTATGACATATTCAACAAATCCAGAATAACGGAATTGTGAGAACAATGTGAAAAAAATAATACAGTTCTGGAATCCCCCAAAGCAAGAAATGAATGAAAGAAATCATGCAAGAGTTGCACAAGTTTAGCTGAACCCGAAGCCCTTTGCAAAATTTACAGTCTCTAAAATTATAAAAGTTACAGCCTGGATGCATTTCAGGCAGTGTCTGAAAGGAAGCACTTTGCCTATAAACTGTACCTTTCTGCACAGATCCAGGTATGTTAAGTTCCAAGAGAATTATAAAATAGATGATGGTGCCCCAATTCTGCATGGCAAGTGCTTGCTTCCAAGTATCTCCTTAATATTGCGTCTGAGAAAGGAGCCGATTAACTTTCAATACTCAGGGATGCTTTGAACCTGTTCTATTTTAGTTCATGGTATCCTGTATTTTAACTGCTCTTCAGTTAAGGTTGATTGCCTTTTAGTTCAGGACACCATGGAACCATTAAGTCAATCAAGTGGCCTTCTTACTACCAGGTTTCCAGCCCATAACTGATGAACAGAACATCCTGTTCTTTCCAAAGATGATGCTAATCCTCAGCAAAATCATACCCACACTCCCTATGACATTCACATCCAGGCCACAGTGTTCCTCAACTTCCTCTATGTTGTATATGCAAAAACAATTCTGTGTACCTTTGTCTAATAGAATAGAATAGAATAGAATAGAATAGAATAGAATAGAATAGAATTCTTTATTAAAGACAAATTCCTTGTGTGATTGGACACACAAGGAATTTGTCTTTGGTGCATATGCTCTCAGTGCACATAAAAAGACAAGATACATTCGTCAAGAATCATAAGATACAACACTTAATGATAGTCATAGGGTACAAATAAGCAATCAGGAAACAATATCAATATAAATCGTAAGGATACAAGCAACAAAGTTACAGTTACACAGTCATAAGTGAGAGGAGATGGGTGAGAAGACTTATTGTAATAGTAATGCAGCCTTGTGAATAGTTTGGCAGTGTTGAGGGAATTAAAGTCAAGAGCTTCATCATTCTCCATGATCCGTTATGCTCCTGTATGAATTCACCTTGTTGTTCATCTAAGAGCTGCGGTGGCATAGTGGTTAGAGTGCAGTACTGCAGGCTACTTCTGCTAATTGCCGGCTGCCAGCAGTTTGGTAGTTCAGTTCTCACCGGCTCAAGGTTGACTCAGGCTTCCATCCTTCCAAGGTCAGTAAAATGAGGACCCAGATTGTTGTGGGCAATAGGCTGACTCTGTAAAACCACTTAGAGGGGGCTGTAAAACACTGTGAAGCGGTACATAAGTCTAAGTGCTATTGCTATTGGCAACTGAACACATTGATTGGGAGCTCACCTACAGTAAAATAATTGTCATTAACACTACCTTCAACGCTTTGTCTCAGCTTAATAACCACAGTAATAGCAAAGATTAAGAGTTGGTTACAATCAGGGTTTCCTAGAATCTGTTGGACAGGATCTTATAAATCAGGGGTCCCCAACCCCTGAGCCAGGGCCCATTATTGAGCTGTGGTCCATTTGGAACAGGACCGCATAAGCATTGGGTGAGCATGCACTTGTGCAAAGTTCCATTTGTGTCAGTAGTGTGCACTTGCATGAGTGGTGGGCATTTGTGTGAGCAACTGTGTGAGTGGCGGGTGCTCTTTTTCGTGCACAATGCTCCGTGTATGTGAGTGGCGGCTTGTGCAAATAGAGTTCATGTGCCTGCTGCTCACATGGAACCATCCCCTCTCTACTCCTTGCCAGTCCACCAAGCTGGAAAGTTTATAAATCATGATCAATCCACATTCACTGGCCCTCTAACTCCAGTCTGAAAGCTAGTGGTAGGGTGAAGTCCATGTGATTTCTAAGACTATTCTACTTCTTAACTGCTCTTCCTGTCTTAAAATGTTCTTCATATTTATTTTACTTTTCTATTTTTCAAATCTGGTGTCAGGTTCCATGTGTCCAAATGTTGATTACTTGACTGTGGGAATGTTGCAACAGTCGTAAGAGCAAGGACAGGTCATAAGACACTGTTTTCAGTGTCGTTGTAACTTCAAATGGTCATTACATGAATGGTTATAAGTCAAGCACTTTAACAGGTTAACAGAGTTGGAAGGGACCTTATAGGTCATGTAGTCCAACCCCCCACCCAAGCAGGAGACCCTACACCATTTCTGACAAATGGCAGTCCAATCTTTTCTTGAAAGTCTCAAGTGATGAAACTTCTTAAAGCAAGCTGTTCCATCGGTTGATTGTTCTCACTGTCAGAAAGTTCCTCCTCATTTCTGGGTTGAATCTCTCCTTGATCAGTTTCCATCCATTATTCCTTGTCTGGCCTTCAGGTGCCTTGGAAAATAGCTTGACCCCTTCCTCTCTGTGGCAGCCCCTCAAATATTAGAACACGACTATCATGTCTCCCCGATCCTTCTCTTCACTAGACTAGCCATGCCCAGTTCTTGTAACCATTTTTCATATGTTTAAGTCTCCAGTCCCCTAATCATCCTGGTGGCTCTCCTCTGCACTTTTTCTAGAGTCTCAACATCTTTTTTATAGTGTGGTGACTTAAACTGGATGCAGTACTCTAGGTATGGTCTTACTAAGGCTTTATAGAGTGGTATTAGTATTTCACTTGATCTTGATTGCATCCCTCTGTTAATGCAATTTAGGACTGCATTGGCTTTTTTGCCTGCCGCTGCACACTGCTGGCTCATATTTAGCTGGTTGTCCACTAAGACTCCAAGATCCCTCTCACATTTACTGCTATTAAGCCTGGTTTCACCCAGTCTATATGTGTGGTTTTGGTTTTTCTTACCTAAGTGTAAGACTTTGCTTTTCTCTACATTGAATTTTATTTTGTTAGATAGCACCCAGTGTTCAAGTCTGTCAAGATCCAGCTGGATCTTGAGCTTATCTTCAAGGGTGTTAGCTATTCCTGCCAGCTTAGTATCATCTGCAAATTTAGTAAGTTCCCCTTCTATTCCCTCATCTAAGTCGTTTATGAAGATATTGAAGAGTATTGGGCCTAAGTCAGAACCTTGTGGCACCCCACTGCTTACTTCTCCCCATGTAGACTTAGACCCATTAAGGACTACTCGTTGAGTACGGTTTGTCAGCCAGTTGCAAATCCATCTGGTGGTCTGGTTTTTTTCTAGCTTACGAAGAAGTGGGTTGTGGTCTTCTTTGTCAAATGCCTTGCTGAAGTCTAAGTGTATTATGTCCACAGTATTTTGCTGGCCTACTAATTTAGTCACTATGTTGAAGAATGAAATAAGATTGGTTTGGCATGATCTGTATTTAACAAACCCGTGCTGGCTGCTAAACTTAAAGATTTCTCCTGTCCAGTCTTTTCCGATTCTAGGGATTGGTGTCACTCTGCCCTAAAAAAACCCAAAAACTTACCCTATGACAAAATGTTCATGATAGAAGCTCATACTTTCTTGATAATGGTAGTATTACTTCTAACTAGGCACAAACATGCTGCTTGACAAACTTTTCAGGTTTTTTGCCCAGTATAAATATTAAACTAAATGATCTGTAGATTATGTCCTCCTTCCCTTTTTGAACATTGGGGCATCGTGTTCCTTTATCAACACCTGCATCTCATTATTTCTCTAAGAGATTTCTGAAATTACAGGGTGACTCTGCAGCTGCTCTATTTTAGCAAAAAGTACCTTCTGTGCTTAAATAAAAAAACACAACTGTCTTTCGGTTATGAACACAGTGAAACAATAAAATCGATCAGTTTAACCTTGGTGTTGCCAAGTGTACAGCCCTTCAACAACAAACTGAGCAATATGTCCATTTGAAAATCATCCTTAAATTTACCAAAATAATTTGGAAATGCAGCCAGCCGCACAGACAGAGATAGATAGCACGGAATGAAGTTGCTTTTATTCAAAAGGTTATGAGTTCTCCTACAAAACAGATTGGAGAGTCTGTGCTTTGAAGAGTTCAGGAATTCCATCTTTCTTATCATGGTAAGTGTCCTAAAATGATACAGGCAATGTTGTGGAAAAAAGAGAGAGAAGAGAAGGGAAGGGAAAGGAAGGGAAGGGAGAGAAAGAAAGAGAGAAAGAGAGAGAGAGAGAGAGAGAGAGAGAGAGAGAGAGAGAGAGAGAGAAAGGAAGAGCAAAAGAAAGAAGAAAGGAAGGAAGAGAGAGAGAGAGAAAGTAAGTAAGTGAAGAGCAGGCAGGCAGGAAGGAGAGAGAGAGAGAGAAAGAGAGGAAGGAAGGAAGGAAGGAAGGAAGGAAGAAGAAAGGAAGAGAGAGAGAGAGAGAAAGTAGGTAAGTGAAGGGTAGGCAGCCAGGAAGGAGAGAGAGAGAGACAGAGAGAGAGAGAGAAAGAAAGAGAAAGAAAGAGAGAGAGAGAGAGAGAGAGAGAGAGAGAGAGAGAGAGAGAGAGAGAGAGATGTTATAAATCCACCAAAAGTAATATATCCATTATTACTATACTCACTGTATCTACATCATTGGCTAGATTGGATGCAGTAATACAAGTAATGTAGTAATGCAGTAAAATACAACCACAGGACAGGTTTAGATATCATACAGCTCCAGCTTCTAAAGGCTTTGGGAAACCATGTGATGATGCTATCAAATATACAGACATTTTTACTCCTTTCTTTTATCAAGGAGTGGTAGATTCTAAAGCACACAACAGATAACTGCTTTGGCCTCAATACCATGACCACTTGATTCTTCTTCTTCTTCTTCTTCTTCTTCTTCTTCTTCTTCTTCTTCTTTCTTTCTTCTTCTTCCTTCTTCTTCTTCTTCTTCTTCTTCTTCTTCTTCTTCTTCTTCTTCTCTCTCTCTCTCTCTCTCTCTCTCTCTCTCTCTCTCTCTCTCTTTTGCGTTTTTTAATCTTTGTAAATCTCAAATATCTGGGTACCCCTGATAACAGAAAATTACTCCTTACTCCATGGTTCAATCTATGTTCAGTACTAGCATGGAAGCATCTTTTCTAGGCTGCCCTTGAAAGCTACAAGATAGCTTGGAGAAGTTGGGATGACCCTATCTTCCTATAACCTCTCTTCCCTTCTCTACCTGGATCACCTGGGCAATCTACTGCCATAACTCACCTTCTGCCTAGTATTGTAGATCACACCTTTAACTTTTCCTAAACATGTTTTTTTTTTCAATCTCCAATTCCACCAAACCATTTTGAACTCCATATAATGTTCTTCACTCCAGCCAATTTTAGAACATGGAAGGTCACTCATGGCCCCTAACCACGGCACAAAGATAACTTGTCAATGGTTGGTGTTGCCTTTGTCCTATGCCTGCCCCATAGCAGAGGCAAAGCCACCTGTAGCTGTTCCAGTTTAATGGAGTTTTTTCTCTGGTTCTGGTACCCATTTTGCCATCAACATGAGAGAGGGAACTTCAGTGACAATGTGTTTGATAAGGTGGTCAGGCATTTGGGTCTGCAAGCTCCTTTCTCACTTTGGGGTTGCGTTCATAAAATATGTATGATGAAAGAAAAATTTCTGCTTTGGGCTCATCCTTCCCCCATGGCTGAGGGACAACTTTTTTCCTGGAGCCATTCAGTTTTGAGCAGAGGGAGGCTTTGATTTTTTTTTCATCTGGGCTTCAAATGGTTGTCCAACGTATTTGAAGGGTAGCCAGTGATGGAAGGTTTACTTCCATGCATGAATTACACCAGAGGTGTTAAACTCAAGGCCCGGGAGCTGGATCCGGCGCATGGGGTACTTAGATCTGGCCTCTGGGGCCGCCCTGGAAATAGCAAAGGACTGGTCCGGGGTGCCTCTGCCAGAAAAAACAGAGCTCGCAAGGGCTGCACACAGCCCTCCCAAGCTCCATTTTCAATGGCAGAGGGTTGCAGAAGGCCATCCCAGCTGAAAACAGAGCTTGCGAGGGCCGTGCATGGCCACCCCAAACTCCATTTTTGCTGGCAGGAGGCCGTTGCAGCCAAAATGGAGCTCAGGAGCCCGTTTTTGCTGGCAGAGCACTCGGGCCACCACAGGTGCCCCCAACACATCGAGCGACGTCGAGCTGGCCACGCCCACCTGGCCACGCCCACCCTGGGCCCCAAGGTCAAAGACAACCCTGATGTGTCCCTCAATGAAATCGAGTTTGACAGCCCTGAATTACACTAAAACAGAAGTGAAGGTGCGATGTTGGTGGGGAAATATGTAAAATGGCTGAAACGTACCAAACACATCACACGCCTTTACACAATCAATATAGTTTGAAAAATTGTTTTCATTGCCTCCGCAGCCATGGTAAGTAAACGCTCTGCACCGATGGAGTTTAAAATCATAATAATATCGAGTACTATGTTTTTTGCACCATCCTTTTTTGGGATATAATCTGCATCTCCTGGATGTAACTAAAAGATAAGAAAATAGGGTGAAGGACAACCCCTTCCCATAATTCTCCCCTCCGTCGTCTGTGGAGATTCTCAGTCATCCAGCTCATAATTATCTCAAAGGTGCTTTTTCAAAAGGCAGCAGGACTATTTTGTTTTTTCTTTCAGGAAGAAGAAGAAAAGCTTCACCCGAGAAGCTTCATCAGTTGTGATAGCAGGGGTGGTGGTATATATATTAATCTTTATAATCTGTTCCAATCTTCCCATTTTTTTTCCATATTCATCTCTTTTATATAATTCTTTATCACAAATTAATCATTTTTCACCATATCTTGTTATTTCAGCTTCTGCCATATTATTCTTTTTTTTCAAGGATACTGAAGGATATATGGAAGGATACTGTCTTAACTGTCAGTACCTACTGTATTTTTCGGAATATAAGACGCACCTTTTTCCCCCAAAAAAGAGGGTGAAAATTTGGGTGTATCTTATACTCCGCATGTTGCCCCACCCAGCCTCTCAAACGGAGGTTTCAGAGGCTGAAAAAAGCCTCTGAAAGAAAGCTTCAGAAAAAAAGCCTCAAAACAGAGCTTCAGAAAAAAATGCCTCTGAAAGGAAGCTTCAGAAAAAAAGCCTCCGAAATAGAGCTGTTTCGGAGACTTTCAGAGACAGAAAAAAACAGTTTTTTTCTGAAACAGAGTTTCAGAAGTTTCAGAGGTTGAAAAAGAAGCAAGACACAGAGCTTACAATCAACAAACCTGTTGCAAAAATTCACCTCTGGGAACAGCTGATTGGGGGTATTTCAGGAGGCTGATCCACCCGCCAATCAGCTTTTTTAAAATTTTCCTCTCCAAAAACTAAGATGCGTCTTATACTCTGGTGTGTCTTATACTCCAAAAACTACAGTATCCTTCTATTCCCGCTGTCCCCTGCCATCATAACTGATGAATTTTCTTGGATGAGAAGCTAAATATTTTCTTCTTCCTCCTCAAGGAAAAAAAAAAGCGTCTTTGAGTCCCCGTTACATCACATCTTTTAGAAGTACAGAATGATTCTGGAAAGGAGAGGCAGGAAAACCTGTTCATCTATGCCTTTCCTTTCCTGCCTCCCAAGACAGTCCCATCAAATGTCCAGCAAGAGAGACCTTCACGTATGAACCAGTTCTCCAGGATCCCAGATTCAATGAAGGCATGGATTGGAAGGGAACTTACATATCGTGTCCAATCTCCCTTTGGCATAAGTTTCTTACTAAACCATCTCTGAAGGGTATTCATCCAATCTGTTCTAAATCCAATCTAGCATGAAGGAATTCTCTAGAGCAATGGTTCTCAACCTCTGGCCTATGGACCAGTGATGGGTACCTAGTTAGAAAAACATGACCGTTTTTCACAGTTATGAACTTTGCAGCATCCCCATGATCACATGGTCAAAATCCAGATGCTTGGCAACTGGCTCATATTTATGCCTCCCAAGGTCATGTGGTTACTAACTTATCAACGGCAACGATTCGCTTAACAACTGTGGCAAGAAAGGTCGTAAAATGGGGCAAAACTCACTTAACAAATGTCTCGCTTAACAACGGAAATTTGGACCTCAATTGTGGTCGTAAGTGGAGGACTACCTGTAGACAGGACGAGAGGTCCATCCACCCATTATTTCAGTCTACCCAATTTTAGGGTGTTTCAATCAACTTGAAAAATAAAAGTTGCCATTCTTATTGCTGATGGCCTGTCTCTTGTGATGTGATACTCTTTTGTGTGCAGGCACATACACACCAGTGGTGGGTTTCAAATTTTTTTACTACCCGTTCCGTGGGTGTGGCTTGGTGGGCCTGGCTTGGTGGGCATGGCAGGGGAAGGATACTGCAAAATCCCCATTTCCTCCCGCTCCGCTGGGACTCGGGAGGCAGAGAATTGATGGGGCGGGCCAGTCAGAATTTTTACTACCAATTCTGTGGGTGTGGCTTGGTGGGTGTGACATGGCTTGGTGGGCGTGGCTTGGTGGGCGTGGCAGGGGAAGGATACTGTAAAATCTCTGTTCCCTCCCCAATCCAAGGGAAGGTTACTGCAAAATCCCCATTTCCTCCCACTCAGCTGGGACTCGGGAGGCAGAGAATAGATGGGGGTGGAGCCAGTCAGAATTTTTACTACCGGTTCTCAGAACTACTCAAAATTTCCGCTACCGGTTCTCCAGAACTGGTCAGAACCTATGGAAACCCACCTCTGATACACACACTTTCATTGTGAGTCCCTGTAATATACTGTACAGACAACAGCATACATACGTTTCTTCCAGTCAATATTTCCAGCTGTGTTTTCCGCGGGTAACTCAAGATCTAAGAATAAGAGACAACTGAGTGAATATTAGATGCAAATATCCTGCTTGGAAATAATATTACAAGAAGTCCTTAGCTTATGGCAGTTTACTTAACTTCATTCAAAGTTCCAACGGCGCTGAAAAAAATAACTTATGACCATTTCTCACACTTATGACCGTGGCAGAATCCCCATGGTCAGGTGATCAACAGTCAGATGCTTGGCAACTGGTTCAGTGTCCCAGGGCCGTGTCACGTGATCCCCTTTTGCTGCCTTCTGACAAGCAAATGCAATCGGGAATCCAGATTCATTTAACAACCAGGTTACTAACTTAACAAATGCAGTGATTCGCTTAACAACCGTGGCAAGAAGAGTCGTAAAATGAGGTAAACTCGCTTAACAAGTGTTTCACTTAGCAATGTAATTTTTGGGCTCCGTTGTGGTCATAACTCGAGGACTACGTGTACTTTATATCATTTTCAATAAAGATCAAATACGGGAAAACATTAATCAGCTCAAATACATTGTCTAAACTTTCATTAAGGAAAAATTCCTTATTAGAATAACATTGTTAAATAAAAAGATTGCTTTTTATATCATATGGGGATTAATGAGGAGCTTAAAAGTGAAAGAGCATTAAAAAAAAGTGAAAGAGCATAATTTTAATATAGCCATCAGGAAGCTCAAGCATTAGACAGAAAAGGAAAACAGAAACATCCATAAATTAAACAGAATGGTAGTAACAATGTAGATAAAACAAAACTAGGTGATAATGCTTAGAACATCACCTGATATACAGGTGGTTCTCAGCTTACAAAGAGCCTTGATAGTACAGTGGTTTAGTGCACCCTGTTATTAACACAGCTGCCTGCAATTTCTGCTGGTTCGAATCTTACCAGGCTCAAGGTTGACTCAGCCTTCCATCCTTTCTAAGGTAGGTGAAATGAGGACCCAGTTTGTGGGGGCAATAAGCTGACTTTGTATAAATATACCAAAGTATGAAGGCTATTGCTTAACGCATTGTAAGCCGCCCTGAGTCTCCGGAGAAGGGCGGCATATAAATCAAATTTAAAAAAATAAAAATAAAAATTTAGTGACCATTTAAAGTTACACTGAAAAAAGTGACTTATGTCCATTATTCACGCTTACGACCGTTGCAGAATCCTCATAGAGACGTGATCAAAATTTAGATTTTTGTTCTGCCCCAGTTACGGACCCCAAAGAACGCAGCACACACAAAGTCCATACAAACCTTAGTTTACTAATTAAGGACTACTAATGAGCTTTCTTAGTAGTTGTTCAAACACAAGTGCAGTTTAAATCAGTCTTTTCTGAACAAGGGCTATTAATTTAACTTCATTAACAGCCAACAAGAATCCAAAGAATAATAACTCAATTCTAAGGCACAGTATTTCAGATAATCGTAATCTTACTGTGGTTGGCAGAATGCCCAGAAGCAATTCGCAGGAAGCTGATAAGATAAGCAAGACAAGACACGAAGGTATGTGAATGAAGTTGTTCGCTGCAAATTGCTTCGGTCAGCGTTCTTCCTTAAATAGGCTAAGGGAGTGGCCAATTAGCTCCAAACCTTACTCTCACAGAGACCTCCTCCTGAGGAGCCACTCCTGCCTTTTGGCAGCTCTGCGTGCCCGTGCATCGAGAAGAGGCTCCTCCTTTTCCTCCTCTTCACTTATGGGAGCTTCTGGAGGTTCTGAAGGCTCTGGCTGAATCCCCGCCTCTGGCACCACATCTTCTCCAGCCTCCTCATTGTCTGACTCGAGTACCAGCTGCACAGGCTGCTGGTGCAGCATCCCCCCAGCCTCCTCGCTGTCAGAATCAGCTACTAGCTGTACAGGCCGCTAATGGGCCACAACAATGTTTAGAATCTGGTTCATATTTATGACGGATGCAGTGTCCCGGGGGGGTGTCACGTGATCACCTTTTGCGATCTTCTGACAAGTCAATGGGGGAGCCAGATTCACTTAACAACCGTGTTACTAACTTAACAACTACAATGATTCACTTAACAACTGTGGCAAGAAAGGTCGTAAAATGGAGCAAAAGTAACTTGCCAAATGTTTCACTGAGCAACAGAAATGTTGGGCTCAATAGTGGTAATAAGTTGATGACTACCTGTATAGTAAAACAAATGCACAAACACACACATATCTGCCACAGAAATCCAGTAACAATAATTACAAATTTTGCAAGAGGGACCAAAATGATTCAGCATGAAGCATGAAAATAAATCTTCAGATACCTTCAAAATTAACAAATTGAGAGTTCAAATGTAAGCAAGTCTTGGCAGCTCCTTACCAAATTTTTTACACTGGTAAAGACAATCCTGTAGAGTGGCAAAGTTATTTTTATTGCCACCACAACCTCCATAAACGAAGTTCAGACATATTTTTTTCTTGTGATCATAGTAAACCCTTTCCAATGCTTTTTTGCATTTTCCTTTCTTTGGTGATAATTTGCATTTATGTGGTAGTTGTCCTGGAAAATATTTGAAAAAGAGAAGAACAAAGATTTTGCAGGGACTTTAATCTTAACTTGAAAAACATCAAGTCCATGAACTGAAAAATGTACTTTATGTACTTTAAACTTCATTTTGAAAACAGAAACAAAATTATTTGAAGTCTTGTTCGCGAAATTACGGCAAAAGAGCTGATCTACACTACACTTGTTACCGGTTAGCAAAGGGCTTCATTCAGTTCCTGAATTTATTTATTTAGTCTACTTCCTTGAACTGTAACCTATTCCTCCGGTTTTACACAATGCACTAAAACAACTCTGTAACTACTGTATAGTACTAAGGTAGCACTGAATAAGTGATCTGGTTAAAGATGCTTAGTTTGTCACTGACTTGCTTAAATATTATTATTATTATTATTATTATTATTATTATTATTATTATTATTATTATTTTATTTCTATACCGCCCTTCTCCCGAAGGACTCAGGGCGGTGTACAGCCTATTAAAAGCACAAGACAAACATCAATTAAAATAATTTAAAATTATTAAATAATTCGGCTCAATTTAAAACCCCAGAAATTTAAAACACCCAATTTAAAATTATTATGTTGATAGCCCGGCCTGGCGGAACAACAGGGTCTTAAGTGCACAGCGAAATACCCAGAGGTTGGAGATCTTATGCACTTCCGGGGGCAGTTCATTCCACAGGGCTGGGGCTCCCACAGAGAAGGCCCTCCCCCTGGGTGTCGCCAGCCGACATAACTTGGCCGATGGCACCCTGAGGAGACCCTCTCTGTGGTAGCGGACTGGCCAGTGGGAGGCTATTGGTGGCAGAAGACGGTCTCGAAGGTACCCGGGTCCTATGCCATGGAGCGCTTTAAAGGTGGTGACCAACACCTTGAATCGCACCCGGAAGACCACTGGGAGCCAGTGCAGCTCGCGCAGGAGGGGTGTCACGTGGGCACAACGAGTTGCGCCCATAACCACCCACGCGGTCGCGTGGACCAGTTGGAGCCTCCGAGTGCTCTTCAAGGGGAGCCCCATGTAGAGAGCATTACAATAGTCCAACCGGGAGGTGACAAGGGCGTGAGTGACCGTGCGCAAGGCGTCCCGATCCAGAAAGGGCTGCAACTGGCGAATCAGGCGAACCTGATAAAAGGCCCCCCTGGCTACGGCCGTCATATGCTCTTCTAAAGACAGCCGTGCATCCAGGAGGACACCCAGATTGCAAGCTCTCTCTGTGGGGGGCAAAGATTCACCCCCAATAGTCAGCCACGGCACCTGCTGACTATATCGGGACGCCGGAAGCCACAGCCACTCGGTCTTGGAGGGGTTGAGTCTGAGCCTGTTCCTCCCCATCCAGACCCGCACGGCCTCCAGGCAGCGAGACATCACATCAAGGGCATCGTTGGGGTGGTCTGGGGTGGAGATGTACAGCTGAGTATCATCAGCGTACAGATGACACTTCACCCCAAAACCACGGATGATCTCACCCAGCGGCTTCACATAAATGTTGAACAGAAGGGGCGAGAGGACCGACCCTTGCAGACCCATGTGAGACAGGTTCCCACCAGTCTTCTCTTGGCTTCCCAAGTATGTTCTCAGTGCTCCAAAATGAATAATAAATAAAACATAAGATAAAATCACTGCACAATGTTAGCTCAATTCCCATTCCTATGCAACCCTTCCTTTTTGCAGCTGTTGCCTAACATCCAAGATACAGAAGGAGTTGCACCAAGGGTGACAAGCTGCCCAAGAGGAAGAACGTTACCTGTTAAGTCTTACCTTCCTTCTGGCAGCCAGATGTGACAAATTGTAGGATCAGCAGAAGGCAGATGGGGCCCCAGGCGTGCATGGCAATTTGCTTCTAGAAAATATTTATTTCTAGGTAAACCCAGTTTTGTCAGTGCTTAAGGGGGAGAAACCAATCCCTTGGAGTGAGTCAGTTAGGTTTTGATAGATTTTTTTCTGAGGCTGCTCTGCTTTAACTGACGTTCTCTTCCTGTATTTAAATAAAATATGACTGCTTTTGAGCCAGGAACACGGGGAAACCATAAAGTTAACCTTGGGTGGTCAGGCATTCACCTCTTGAGCATATCATTTTATTCATGGATGGATTTGATTTATATGCCACCCATCTGATCCTACAAAACAATTAGGAACTTCCTTGGTTAGAGGCAAGTGGAATTTGGGGATCCTTTGGGAATTGTAAAAAACAATAGAGAGAGGCTATCACAAGATGTGGGGATGTAGTGGCTCAGTGGCTAAGACACTGAGCTTGTAGATTGAAAGATCGGCAGTTCATCGGTTTGAATCCCTAGTGCTGTGTAACGGGGTGAGCTCTCATTTTTGTCCCAGCTTCTGCCAACCTAGCAGTTCGAAAGCACGTAAAAAATGCAAGTAGAAAAATAGGAACCACCTTTGGTGGGAAGGTAACAGCATTCCATGCGCCTTTGACGTTTAGTCATGCTGACCACATGACCATGGAGATGTCTTCGGACAGCGCTGGCTCTTTGGCTTTGAAACGGAGATGAGCACCATCCCCTAGAGTCAGGAATGACTAGCACATATGTGCGAAAGGAACCTTTACCTTTACCTTTTATCACAAGATAGCTATGGAAGGGCCTGGCCATAATTTGCTCAGCTTTGTGTGATCTTTTTTTTGCAGATCCAACTAAATCAAGACATTGGTTTTTCTGTCCTCCCTGTTTTTACTTTTATTTGAATGCCAATGAGACTTCTCTGGAATACATAGATATTCTTGGACATGAAACTGTGCATCGCCTTAAAAAAATGCAAATAACCTTAAAAATAGGAATGAGAAAGGGATGTTGCTTATGAATGATGTTTTCATACAGCTCATTTCTGGAAAGTGAATAAAAGTGTTTTTACGTGGATATAAAATCAGAACAGGTTTGGCAGCACTAACTCTGACTAACATAATTTATTAAAAGGCATAAGCTTTTCTGAGCTGCAGATCATGAATCAGCCCTGACTAACATTAGCCCAGATCCCCAAAAAACAGGAGCATCACTTGACCACCCCTAGCACTGACAAATTCACCATTAGTCAATTGCAAAAGACAGCTTTACCTGGAACAACTTACATCCTGCGATGATACCTGAAACACCATAGAGCTGTGATGGCGAACCTATGGCACGCATGCCACAGGTGGCACGCAGAGCCATATCTGTGGCACGTGAGCATTGCCATAGGTTAGCTCCAGCACGCATGTGCATGCCGGCCACCTGATTTTCGGCCCTTCGAGGCCCACTGGGAGTCAGGAAACAGGCCGTTTCCGGCCTCTGGAGGGCCTCTCGGGAGTGGGGAAGGCCATTTTCGCCCTCCCCAGGCTCCAAGAAAGCCTCTGGAGTCTGGGTAGGGTGAAAAACGGGCCTACTGGGCCCACCGGGCCATCATGTTCCAAAAGTGGGGAGAAGCGTGGGGGGCATCACGTGCTTGCGCGGAGGGCGTGGCATATTGAATTATGGGTGTGGGCATGCACGCGTGCAAACCCCCTGCGCTCCCCCCGCTTTTGGCACGCCACGGCAAAAAGGTTAGCCATCGCTGCCATAGAGCATCCATACCTGTCCATTCCAAGCTCCTTTGGGAAGGACTCGATAGGTGGACAAAAATGCCAAATCCAGCCTAGACATCTGCCTCACTGTACAATGAAATAATTTCCCACATCAAAATCTAAGCCAGTGAACTCGAGTTTATTTATGCAGACTTATTCTAAACATGAGAGTCCTTGGTAACTTTACACCTTGACCTCTTTCAACTATTTTTAAGATTAATGGCACGGGCTCTAAAGTTACTCTAAGATCAATGGCCACAACTAACTTCTACAACTACCGTATTTTCCAGCGTATAAGACGACTTTTTAACACATGAAAATCTTCTCAAAATTTGGGGGTCATCTTATACACTGGGTGTCGTTCTCCTGTAACCAGGCAGACCAGCCCGAAAGGCTCTGACGAGCCTTAAATGGCTCTGGTGATCCAAACTCTGATGATCCCAGCTTTGCCTGCTAATCAGGCAACTCAGCTGGGATTGCCAGAGCCATGTAAAAGAAAAAAAGTTTTCCCCCTCCAGCTTGCTTACCTTAGCTGCTAGTCGCAACGCTTGCCTTGCTTCGCTTGCCTGAATCCATTCCATCAGCAAGCCACTCCCTGCCTGAGTTGTGGACTTCAACTCCCAGAATTCCTCAGCCAGCAAAACAAAGCTGGCTGAGGAATTCTGGGAGTTGAAGTCTACAAGTCTTAAAGTTGCCAAGGTTGGAGACCTCTGTTCTGTTGGGTAAGTTTTTTCCCCCTTTAGGAGCTTTAAAAAAAATAGTTAATTGGGTTTTTTTTTAGTTGTTCTTTTTTAGACCTAGCCATTTAAAGTTTAGGAAGTTTTAAATTTAGTTTTCATATAAAAATAAAAATAAAATAAAATAAAATAATATTTGTGCAGCTTTCTGAGATTTAGCGTGTTTCTGTAGTGTTTCACTCTAACTACACAAACACACAAAATCTCACAAAGTTGTATGTGGAATTTTGTGTGTGTAAAGTGTGAAAGTTGTTTTTTTGGGCTTTTTGTGGCTGTGTGAGGTTCCTGCTTGTTGCAGGGGCCATTTTGGGTCTAGCATAGTTGCTTTTACATTGTGGGTGAGCCAGTTGATGTTTTTTAATTTTTATTTGGTGTGCGTTGGAAGAGGGGTAGTCTTATACGGCGAGTATAGCCCAAACCTTATATTTTAACAGGAAAACTCGGGGGTCGTCTTATACGCCCAGTCGTCTTATACGCCAGAAAATACGGTAGTTTTCTATTTTAAGCATTTTTAATGTTTAAACTAGGAACTGTGGTGGCACAGTGGTTAGAATGCTGTATTGCAGGCTAACTCTTCCTACAGCCTGTTCAATGTTGACCAGCTCAAAGTTTACTCAGCCTTTCATCCTTCTGAGGTTGATAAAATGAGGACCTAGATTGTTGGGGACAATATGTGAGAGTACTGTAAAGCATTAGGGAACAGTATATAGTAGTTATTGCTAATGCTAATGCTAGCACTAACTCAACAGAGAATTATAAAAATTAAAAACCAATTGAAGCCAGAACTTTTCCTTTAGGACAGATGGATACATGGTTAGAAAAGAGATATGGAAGATTATTTCAGTATGTGATTACTGCATAGTCTACTACCTCAGACTATTATATGCACAAAGCTGGAAAGATTCAACAGTCTGTTGGTTGTTTCACCAACCAGGGCGACATTGGTGAAATTGACAGAAATTGTTGGGATGACCAGACGGATCTGTTTGATTAGGGAAAAGTCATTATCAACATGTGTTATCCAGTGGTGGGATTCAAATTTTTTTACTACCAGTTCTGTGGGCGTGGCTTGGTGGGCGTGGTGTGGCTTGGTGGGCGTGGTGTGGCTTGGTGGGCGTGGCTTGATGGGTGTGGCAGGGGAAGGTTACTGCAAAATGCCGATTTCCTACCAATCAGCTGGGACTCGGGAGGCAGAGGATAGATGGGGGCGGGGCCAGTCAGAAGTGGTATTTACCGGTTCTCCGAACTACTCAAAATTTCCACTACCGGTTCTCCAGAACTGGTCAGAACCTGCTGAAACCCACCTCTGGTGTTATCTCTCCTACAGGAGCTGCATTGGTTGCTGATTTGCTTCTGGGTGTTGTTTCTGGGATGGGGGTTATTATTATTATTTTATTATTTTTATTATTTTTATTTCTGGTATATTGTGTTTTTATTTCTCGTAAGCTGCCCTGAGTCTCTCTGAGCCAGCAATATGAATTTTCCAAATGAAATAAATATTCATCAGTGACTGAAAGCTCCTTATGGGCTTTTTGCATACAAAGAAAACAGTTTTGGGGCTTAGAGTTTGATAATAGAAAGAATAAGTTCAGAAAGAAGGGAAATATTTAACCTTGTAGAAAGAGGTTTGATTAGAATTATGTCTCTAACTGCAGAGGGGAAGCTTGGAAACCACTTCTTTATATTTCTTTGTATGTTTTATGTTCTTTTATTTCCTTTTTTTCTATCTCCTTTTTTCTTTGTCCTCCCCTTTCTCTTTCACATTTACTCTATTTTTTTTATTGCACTTCCTTTGCAGAATGAATCCTTTTATAGCTTGTAACTTCTGTGCAGAAAGAGAATAGTCGGATGTCAAAAGTGTGGCTGAACATGATGTCTTTTTATCTTCTTTTTATCTTTGTTGTCCTTTTCTCAAATCATAAGAGAAGGGGGATATAGAGAAACAGCCTCCCAAATTAGAGGGTTTCTTCACAGTTGTTGCCTTTTTTCCTAGTAAATTACATTTTTTAAAAATGTGAACGTTCTGGTTTTCTTGCTTCGCTTTCCAATTGTATGAAGGTGAAATGGACGTTTTTGCCTCTAGCCGAAGATGGTGAAATTCCAAGCCAGGTAGAATGAGGTGTGATCACGTTTATCTCTGCTTTTTTTGTCAAGACCCTTTGACCCCCACATAACTCTTCAGGTTTCTCTCTCTCTATAAAAGAAAATGAGTAAACTAAAGGCAACTTTAAAAGTATTCACTCCCCAAGCCACCAGAATGAATTCCAAAACTAACTGTGAAGCTAACGCAGTACCCGAAATCCCAGTAAGTTGTTTCATTTTTCGGTTCTAATAATGCTCAAACTGGGAAAGTGCATTTGGCAGATGAGAGATATAAAGAATAAAATAGTGCAAATTAAAGGGCTATTGCTAAAATCACTCTTTGTGCTTTTGAGCAGTTGTCCCACCACTATGAACTGTGGATATTTTTAAAGTCATACAAATGCTAATTTATCAAATTATCAAATTTATTCTCTGTTCTAATCAAACTGCTTATTTTGTATTAATTTATCCATAAATCTTTGGAGAGAGGAGTGATAGCGAGGAAGGGTCGGGTTAGGATAGCCGATTAGACTAAGAAATGGAATTTTTTACATTTAGTAAAAATAGTAAAAAAAATTGCATTTCTTAGTCTAATTGGCTATCCAAAGCAGTTGGATGGAGAATAAGCACTCAAAGCAAGTGAACCTTAGAATAAATATATTCATAACACTCAAGCCTTTATCTTTTTAATAGACACTTGAAAAGGAAAATAGCACCAAGAATTCCCCAGTTCAACCCTGAGCTACTTATATTGAAAAGGAAGATAATTTGCTCAACCCTTGCCTTTCTTAGCTGGTCCTTATTTTAAGGGATTATTCCATTTAAGAACTCACTTAACAAGTGAGTTTAAGAACTCACTTAACAAGTTTCTCACTTAGCAACATCAGTGTTGGGCTCAAGTGTGTGGTGACAAGTCAAGGACTACCCATACTAAGAAAGGATTTTTCCACTTTGCTCAGGTTATTAAGGGAGTCCACTTTTATTTAAAAGGCTTGGTGTGCAGAAGTAGTTTTCTGCAATTTGGTGACCTCTCTTGTTTCCTGTATAAATGGCCACGTAAGAAGAAAAAGATGGGTGAGATTTGGGAGGGGGTAGAACAGAGGTGGGTTTCAGCAGGTTCTGACCAGTTCTGGAGAACCAGTAGTAGAAATTCTGACTAGCCCTGCCCCAGAGGTGGGTTCGAATTTTTTTTACTACCAGTTCTGTGGGTGTGGCTTATTTTGTGGGTGTGGTTTGGTGGGGGAGTAATGTGACTGAGTGGGCATGGCCAACTTTTTTAAAAAAAACTTTTAAAAGCATTTTTTCTACAACCTTAAGAGGTTGCAGAAAAAAATGCTTTTAAAAGCCTCTGACAATCAGGCAACTCAGCTGGGATTGCCAGAGGCTTTTAAAGGCATTTTTTTTCCCTACAACCTCTTCGGCTGAAGAGGTTGTAGAAAAAATGCTTTTAAAAGTTAAAAAAAAAAAAGCCTCTGATGAGGTGGGCGGGGTAAGCGAGTGGTGACCGGGCCGGGACCAGTTCGGGGGCATGGCCAGCCAATGTTATTACCGGTTCTCCGAACTACTACAAATTTTTACTACCAGTTCTTGTGAACCGGGAGCAACCCACCATTGCCCTGCCCCCATCTATTCTCTGCCTCCCAAGTCCCAGCTGATCGGGAGGAAATGGGGATTTTGCAGTATCCTTCCCCTGCCATGCCCACCAAGCCACATCCACAGAACCAGTAGTAAAAAAATTTTGAAACCCACTACTGGGGTAGAATAACATTCTTCTGAACTTCCGTTTACCAGCTAAGCTGCCGACTCTTTCCCCAGGGATTCAAGTTTATCCCCAGAATCCCAAAAGACAGGAAGCAAGTCATTCTCATCTCCTCAGTGTTGGTGCTTCTGACAGCAGTAATTATTGCAGCCATTCTCATTGGAGTGTATATTACTCAGGAATACACTGAAAGGGTGAGTAGGAGCTATAAGGGCTCAGTCCTTGAGCATTTACTGATTGTTGAAGTTACAACAGCACTGAAAAAGTGACTTATGACCAGTTCTTGCACCTACAATCCGTGCAGCATCCCTACAGTTGCATGATCAAAATTTGGGACTTAGGAACAGGCATGTATTCATGATGGCTGAGGCTTCCCGGGGCCATGGACTTACCATTCGTGATCTTCCGAGCAGGCTACCAACAAGCAAAGTCAGTGTGGGAAGCTGGATTCATTTAGTAACCATGTGATTAATTTAACAACCATAGCAATGAAAGTTCATAAAATTGGGGCACAACTCGTTTAACTGCCTTGCTTAGTAACAGAAATTCTGGTCCCAGTTGTAGCCATAAGTTGAGGATTGCCTATGCCCATGATGCCGAACCTATGGCACACAGGCCAGAGGTAGCAAGCAGAGCCCTCTCTGTGGGCATGCATGTAATCGCCAGCTGTTCTGGTTTCTGGCATGTGCATGCGTGCCAGCCACCTGGTCACACTGGAGCCCTGGAAACCCAAAGACCAGTTGGCCATGCACATGCACACGTGGCCTGCTAGTCTTCAAGTTTCCAGCACTCAGGCGCACGCAAAGACCAGCTGACTGGCGCTCATGCGTGTGCAGGAAATCCAAACACCAGCTGGCCGGTGCACGCATGCGCATCAGCCAGCTGGTCTTTTGTTTTCTGGTGGTCCGGCATGTGCAAAGACCAGCTGGCCAGTGCACATGTGCATGCTGAAAACCCGAAGACCAGGTGGCCAGTGCGCACATGCGCATTGGCCAGCTTGCCTTCTGGTTTTTGGTTCACTGGTGTATGTGCATGCGCGCCAGCCAGCTGGTCTGTGCACTTGCCAGAGCACCAGAAATCCGAAGACAAGTTGGCCACTACGCATGCGCGCACTGGCCACCTGGGCTTCAGCGCAACCAGGTGGCTGGCACACATGCACGTGCCAGAAACCAGAGGAACAACTGGAGATGGCGCACATGTCCCCAGAGAGGGCTCTGTGTGCCACCTCTGACATGCATGACATAGGCTTGCCATCACACATGCGTGCAGCTGTTCTTCAGGTTTCCAGTGCTCCGGCGTGTGCAAAGACCAGGCTGGCATGCATGTGCATGCCAGAAACCCAAAGACCAGGTGGCCAGTGCGTGCATGCATGATGGCAAACCTATGGCACGCATTCCAGAGGTGGTACGCAGAGCCCTCTCTGAGGGCACGTGCACCGTCGCCAGCTGCTCCTCTAGCTTCCAGCACGTGCCTGCGTGCCAGCCACCTTGTCATGCTGGGTTTCCTGTGCTTCAGCGCACGTGAAGACCAGGTGGCATGTGTGTGCCGGAAACCCAAAGACCAGGTGGCCGGCGCGCGCATGCATATTGGCCAGCTAGTCTTCGGGTTTCTGGTGCTACAGCGCATGCGCATTCCTTTTCTGCCCCTGCTACGGACATCAAAGAACGCAGCACACACAAAGTCTGTACAAATCTTAGTCTACTAAATTAAATCAGTCTTTTTCAAACAAAGGCTGTTAATTAACTTCCTTAACAGCCTACAAGAATCCAAAGAATAAATAATCGTAATCTTACTATGGTTGGCTGAAAGCCCAGAAGCAATTTGCAGGAAACTGATAAGAGAACTAAGATCAGGACGCGAAGGAGAGTGAATGATGTTCCCTGCAAATTGCCTCAGTCGTCGTTCTTCCTTAAATAGGCTAAGGGAGTGGCCAATTAGCCCAAGCCTTACTCTTGAGGAGACCTCCTCCTGAGGAGCCACTCCTGCCTTTTGGCAGCTCTGCGCGCCTGTGCATCGAGAAGAGGCTCCTCCTCTTCTTCCTCTTCACTTATGGGAGCTTCTGGAGGTTCGGAAGGCCCTGGCTGAATCCCTGCCTCTGGCACCACATCTTCTCCAGCCTCCTCATTGTCCGACTCAAATGCCAGCTGCACAGGCTGCTGGCGCAGCACCACACCAGCCTCCTCTCTGTTGGAATCAGCTACTAACTGCACAGGCCGCTGACGGGCCACAACAATTCCGGTTTGGGTACTCAGTGCCGAAAAGTTTTGCCATCACTGACCTATGCAGTGGCAGCTTAGATGACCCCCTTGAGATGAATTATGCCAACAAAGAAGAATACACAAAACACGCTTCCTAGTTGTGTCTTGTCTCCTGTGCAGATAATCAAAACCATCAGCAATGGAAAGGACGGTCAGACCGTAGAGCGGACCATGATGGTGAACAACCAGGAAAGAGTGGCTGCATTTTTTATCAAGGCCAATAAGACTTCAGCAACAGTTGTCTATGACTACAAACATGTAAGAAATATTCCAAGCCAAGGAGCTCCCATCCTTGCCCCAACTCCTGCCCACCTAGTAGTTTGAAAGCATGCAAATAAATAGGCACCATTTTGGTGGGAAGGTAACAGCGCTCTGTGACATCACGCTGACCACATGACTGTGGAAATGTCTTTGGACAGTGCTGGCTCAACGGCCTTGAAACGGAGATGAGCACTGCCCCTTAAAATCTACAGGGACTCCTTTTTACTTCAGAGTTGAGGGGCATCCCTAGAAATTAAATCCAACTTCCTAATGAGTGCGGAAATCCAAATTAAAACCTCATTGTCAGACAGCTGTCTTGCCTTTGCTTGAAAATAGCCAACAAAAGGGAGTCTACCAGCTCTTGAGACAGCCAGTTCCATGGTCTTAACATTTTGCTAACATTTACAGTCTCAAAATCTTTTCATTTATTCTGAGCATGCTGGTTCTGTTTTTGCTCCTAGCATCTGATTGGCATCCGAATTAAGGATCAAAAACAATGCTCAGTAGTGGCAATGGATTCAATTGACGTTCCCAGTTTAAATGAAATCACCCACAGAATTGAACAGCTTGATGAACAGGTGAGAAAGAAGGGGTGGGAAGAATTGCTTGTTGCCTTCTTTGTCAAATACTACGATGTAGAAGGGATAACCTAGCAAGGATTTGTAACAATTTAAATGTCACTTAAGTCAGACAGGTGGCATAGAAATTTGATAGATAGATACATAGAGAGAGAGAGAGAGGGAGAGAGAGAGATGATAGATAGATAGATAGATAGATAGATAGATAGATAGATAGATGATAGATAGATAGATAGATAGATATGGATGGATAGATGATAGATAGATAGATAGATAGATAGATAGATAGATAGATAGATAGATAGATAGATAGGGATGGATGGATGATGGATGGATGGATGGATGGATGGATGGATGGTGGGGCATGCTAGTATTTTTCTTTTTGTGAAGAAATAGGTCAATGTTCAAAATACAAGTTTAGAACTATTGTATCTGGGTAGTAGTGAGAAATGCTAGTGATTGGTAGAAAAAACGAGGAATTCACCCTGTGAAATCCCAAAAGATATTGGTTACTGAGGACAATAAATAAGCATTGCGATCCCATTGTGATCCGGTAGTAAAGGTAAGTAGAACCCACCCGTTTGGGGTTTTTTTTGATTTTTTTTAAATTTATTTTTAAAACATAAAACAACATCTTTTTGGAGCAAGAGTTTGGCCCGGTATAACATAGATATAAATTCCCAAATTCATCCATTAACATCTTAAGACAGACAAAAAATAGCAAAAATAACAAGAGAAAAAAAAAACCACCCAAAATCTAAACCCAATTTTTATCATTCAATCTAACATCTTATTCTAACATTTAAGTTTCTATTATGTAGTCACCCTAACTCTCAAACTTCAAATCCAAACAGCATTTTATAGTATTCATTTATCATTTATCAATCAGTATTTCATGTATTTTCTGTACTTCAAAGACCCAAATCAAGTCAATGTTTCCTTTAGGACACATCTAATAACCAATATAAAATATTGGTTAATATTATTGGTTAATAATATAAAATATTTCATTCCTCTTTGAAAGACATTTTAAAGTTGATATCCATTCTTCAAAGGTATCTCCTTCATTCCTCCTAGGTTTATTTTTAGCTGGACTGCAGCTTAATTAGTTGGTTTCCAAGGATGCTTTCCTCCACTCCTTACCTTATTTATTGGCTGGATCACAGTTAGTTTTAACTGCTTTACAACATTTTCTCCTTTACTCCTCCTAGGTTTATTTTTGGCTGGATAACAGCTTTTCAGCTGTTTTCCAGGGATGCTTCCCTCCATTCCTAACCTATATTTTGCTGGTTCACAGTTTAGCTTTAACTGCTCCCCAGTATGTCTCCTCCTCTCCTCCTAAGTTTATTTTTCGCTGGATAAGCTATTTTCTAGGGATACTTTCCTCCACTCCTTACCTTATATTTAACTGGTAGAACCCACCCCTGTTGAGCTCATAAGGTCATGGTATCCAAACAGATCTTTAACAGATCTTTTAAAAGCTAGTAGGGCAACTTGACATGTATACAGTAGCCAACAAATTTAACTCCTCTACCCATTGATATTACGTAGCCGAGTAACAAAACAACTGCAGGAAGAGAAATGAAGTGAGAGATCTCAACAATTCAACCCTGAGCTACATTTATTATCCAGTATAAATCTTTAAATAGTCAATAACAGAGTTCAATTTTGGGTTTGTTTTACACTGGGTTGAGATTGGCTTGTTGAGGATGTCTTGAGGACAAAATATAACAGTATGAGCTATCATAGCAACCATGGGCTTCTGCACCAAAAGAATCTTCCAAGTCAAGGAACTGGATCATGAAAAATATGCAAATTTCTTCGCCATTGAAGAAATTAAGTTCGAATCCATTCTACCAATTTGTTTATAAGCCATTTCATCTTCTTTCATAAAGGTTTCAGAAAACAACAGCTTGGTCTACAGCTTCAAGAAGGGAAAGCTAGCTGTTCGCACCACTCTTGGAACAACTATAAATATCCTTTGTGGTGATATCCCTATCTACTGGGCTGAGGTAAAACACTGCTTACCTTTGAATGCTATACTTGCTGGAAATAAGGCATACAGTTTATAATAGATTGTTGAAATAAGACCTCCATATTTTGGATAAGGAGGAGCGATACTTTGACGCTTTATAATCTAAAATCATCTCTTCCTTATTTGCGTGGAGGAACAAGACAGCTACATTGTGAAGCTAGACCAGGATTTCTCAGCTTTGAGCCCTCCAAATCAGGGGTCTCCAACCTTGACAACTTTAAGACTTGTGGACTTCAACTCCCAGAGTTCCTCAGCCAGCTTGCTGAATTCTGGGAGTTGAAGTCCACAAGTCTTAAAGTTACTGAGGTTGGAGACCCCTGCTCCAGATGATAGCATAGTTGTCCTTCACCCAATGAAAGTTGTCATAGCAACCAGTATCCTCCATGCCACACCTGTGCAAAGAGTATCCTCTATGCCACACCTTTGCACACCTGTGCAAAGAATACCTGTCTCAGGAATTCTGGGAGTTGAAGTCCACAGGTTGTAAAAGGGCCACATTTACCCACCCCTGTTCTAGGGGAAGATAAACCTATTTTAATCCTGTGAAAAAGATGCCTCTTTCATCCTTTCCACCATCCCTGCCATCATAGTAAATTACACCTACAGGTAGCCCTTGACTTACAACCACAAATGAGCCCCAAATTTCCGTTGCTAAGTGAGACATTTGTTAATAAATTTTGCCCCATTTTACAACCTTTCTTGCTACAATTGTTAAGTGAATCACTGTAAGTTGTTAAGTTCGTAGCACAGTTGTTAACTGAATTTGGCTTCCCTATAGGCTTTGCTTGTCAGGAGCTCACAAAAGGTGATTGCTTGACTCCTGGGACACTGCAACCGCCATAAATATGAACCAGATGCTAAGCATCTGAATTTTGATCTCCTGACCCCCGGGGGAGGTTGCAACGGTTGTTAAGTGTGAAAAAGATCGTGTCACTTTTTTCAATGCCACTGTAACTTTGAATCATCACTAAACTAACTGTTGTAAGTTGAGAACTACCTGTATACAAAAAGTTGCATACTAAGCTTCAGATGAGGAACTTTGCAAGTCAGGATTTGTCTGTCCCTCCTTCTGTATTTTTATTAGCCTGTGATGTGGACAGTATCTCTTCTGGGGATATTAGGCTCAGGAGATACCCAGTTTTTTTATTTCTCTTATTTTCAACCTTTATACTGTTGACTTAATTTGAGGGCGGGTGGGGTTGGGAATTGAACCTGGTAAATACAGTAAAAGGATAGGGCCAGTGGAGACGCTTTTAATTCTTTCAATGCTGTGTTGTCATTAGTTTGAGGTCTCACTTCTAGTCTATCAGCAGTCTTCTACTTGATACTGTACTTCCTTTCCTGTAGAGTTGTCTTCTATGGACTCACCCAATTCTAAGGAGGTCGTACTTGAGGAAAGACACACAATCTTAGAGAAAGGTACTTCTTTGCTCCAATAATTATTTTCTTCTTTTGTAGAAACAAGAGAAGGAATTGCGAATCACCCTTTGCGTAATTTCGATTATCAGTATTTGCATCAAGATACTTTAAACCCATTCATACTTCCATGTGTTTCTACCTTGGCCATTCCTTATATGTAAAAGTCCATAATTCTTGGTATCATACTAATTTCCAAACACAATAGTGCCAGAAGAACAGGTGCATCCTTGTCATTCAGTGATTCCTCTTCATTGACATTAATTTCCTCAATGGAAAAAAAAATAGTCCAGTTGCCTTTTGAAGAAGCATCTTTGAGACTACTGACATTAACAATAATCTGGTGAATTTCATTCCTAAAAGATGGAGAATAAAAGACAGTCTTGAAGTCCATACGAGTGTTTTCTCTACTTTATCGCCTGGTTGAGCAAATGGGACAATCTCAGGATTGGGGTTAGTAAGTTGTAGGAACGATGCGACTTCCAGCCCAGCATCTGAAGGCACACACGTCATTTTATTTTATTTATTTTGTCAAACGTGTATAAGATAACAAATATAGGTATAAACATGATTATGAATACATGAAATGGATACGAATAAAATGGGGACAGTAGGACAGGGAGGGTAGGCACATTGGTGCGCTTATGCACGTGCCTTACAGACCTCTTAGGAATGGGGTGAGGTCAACAGTAGACAGTCTAAGGTTAAAGTTGTGGGAGTTTGGGGAAGAAACCACAGAATCAGGTAGTGCATTCCAGGCATTGACCATTCTGTTGCTGAAGTCGTATTTTCTGCAATTGAGTTAGGAGCGGTTTACTTTAAGTTTATATCTATTGTGTTCTCGTGTATTGTTGTGGTTGAAGCTGAAGTAGTCATTAACAGGTAGGAGATTGTAGCAGATAATTTTATGTACTACGCTTAGGTCAGACCGAAGGCGGCATAGTTCTAAGTTGTCTAAGCCCAAAATTTCAAGCCTGGTGGCATAAGGGATTTTGTTGTGAGCAGAGGGCTCTTCTCGTGAAATATCTCTGGACTCGCTCAATTGTATTAATGTCCGATATGCAGTGCAGATTCCAGGCAGATGAGCTGTATTCGAGAATTGGTCTAGCAAATGTTTTATATGCTCTAGTTAGCAGTACAATATTACCTAAGGTGACCAGATTTTAACATTGGTAAAGAGGGACATTGTGGGCGTGGCTTATTTTGTGGGCGTGGCTAGCTGGTCATGTGACTGGGTGGGCGTGGCTAGCTGGTCATGTGACCGGGTGGCCATGGCTATGTGTATAGGGTAAGGTGAACAGATTTTAACATTGGTAAGAAGGACACCATTGTGGGCGTGGCTTATTGTGTGGGCGTGGCTTGGAGGCCATGTGACTGGGTGGGCGTGGCTAGCTGGTCATGTGACCGGGTGGCCATGGCTATGTGTATAGGGACTACTCAGAGGGCTGAAAAGTCATTTCTGACAGGTCCTCACACTTATGACCATCCTCACATTTATGCCCGTGCAGCATTTTAACAACCATGTCACTCATTTCACAACTGCTTCTCTTCACCATGGTGACAAGATAGGGCAAAAACGTAAAATTTGAGGACAGTCGTAAGTTCGAGGACTGGTCAAAAGTGCGAGGACCAGTCAAAAATAACTTTTTCAGCCCTCCGAGTAGTCCATATGCACAAAAGGACTAACCAGAGGGCTGAAAAAAGTCATTTCTGACAGGTCCTCGCACTTTTGACTGGTCCTCACACTTATGACCATCCTCACATTTATGCCCATGCAGCATTTCTTAACAACCATGTCACTCATTTCACAACTGCTTCTCTTCACCATGATGACAAGATAGGGCAAAAATGTAAAATGTGAGGACAGTCGTAAGTTCGAGGACTGGTCAAAAGTGTGAGGACCAGTCAAAAATAACTTTTTCAGCCCTCTGAGTAGTCCATATGCATTAAAGGATACAGCAATAGAGAGGGATGAAGGAAGGGAAATTAGAGTAGGAGTGAGGGTAAGAGAGGGAGGAAGAGAGGAGGAGGAGGAGAAAGGAAGAGGAAGTAGGGAGGAGAAAAAGAGGGTGGGGGGAAGAGAAAGTAAGAAGGAAAGAAAAGAGAGAGGTGGTAGGTTTGAGGAGAAAGATTGCTGTACAATAAAAAAGATGAAAGGGAAGAAAGCCAACCAACCCCAAGCAAATATAAAGATATTAAGATAAAGAATGAATTGTTAAACTTTAAAGAATAAAAGAGAACAAATATGAATAAATAGCAGTAATTAGAAACACACATACAAACATACAATGTATTTTCTTTGAACAGAATATTTGGCTGGTTCACAAATTTAAACAGCGTTTAGTCATTTCAATTAAATTTACAATTTCTATATTTCCTTTTTGCCATATTTATTCCTCATCTATTTTTTTAAAAAACCAATATTACCCTTCATCCTCATCTCTAATCTTAATCAAATTCAATTTTTCCCTTCTATTCTATATTATACCCCTTCCCATTGTCATCTATTTTTATATCCATCCTTACATTGGTTAATTATGTAATTATGTAATACAGTTGTTTAATACAAATTCAACATTTTAATATAAATCAATTAGTTATATAACTATCTTTTTTGTATATTAATCAATATGAACATGAATATTCCAATTATTTCCATGCAATCCAATTTCTTACAAATCAATTAATTATATTTATCAATAATAATAAACCAAATAATTTCCCCCATATATACTTCCAAACCACAACTTAATTGCTGGGTCGCCCGCCCCTCCTCCCATCCGCGCGGCGTCAGCCTACCCTAGCCCAGGGCTGGGCAATTGTGGCTCTTTTACAACGTTTGGACTTCAACTCCCGCCGAGCCCATTCTGGGGAATTGTGGAGCATTCTGGGAGTTGAAGTCCACAAGTCTTAAAGCTGCCAAGGTGGGAGACATCAAGCATGAAGCTGGCCAAGTATCCTCCTTGAGAGACAACAGTTGAACATCAGGAGAGCTGTAAGAGGGCAGGGCTACATTTGGAAATTTTCGCATTTTTGCAGGTGGTGCATTACGATCTGGTGTCTGCAATGGAGAGCAAAATCCGGCTTCTTCTCTCCGCTGTAAGGGCGGCATCAGGATTCCACCTTGGTATATTTGCAGCACAAGGCAGCCCTCCTCTCCTGTCGCTTGGGACTCGGAGCGGTAAACAGCGTCTGGTTCGGGGAGCAGCCGGATTTTGCTCTCCATTGCTCTCTCGGCCCCCTGCAAGCTCTCGTCTCTCGAGGAACGCTCCCTGAAATGGCGCGGGAAACTTTGGTTGGGCTTCTCGAGAGATGAGAGCTTGCAGGGGACCGAGAGAGCAATGGAGAGCAAAATCCGGCTGCTCCCTGCACCAGACGCTGTTTACCGCTCTGAGTCGGCAGGAAACGAGGGCTGCCTTGCGCCGCAAATATACCAAGGTGTTTTTTTTTTAACACTGATCAGCTGTAGGTCGGCCCTTTGAAGCCCCGCGGCAAGAGTTCAAACAGTTTTTTTTCCCTCTAGCCATCAGCGGGGACTCAGGAGGCAGAATGAAAAATCGGGACTTTTTTAAAACGCCGCGGGACGCGGGACAAATTGCTCAAAAGCGGGACTGTCCCGCCAAAAGCGGGACGTCTGGTCACCTTAATATTACCAGAGAAGAAGCTAGGCAAAATTAGGTTAACAACACTTAATGCCTTTTTGGCAATGTTGTTATAGTGGGGCTCTGGCACATTGCCAGATGCAATGGATTCAAATTCTGACACCTTCAACCAGCGCAAACATGAGAGTCAAGTGCATTTGAAGAATTCTAGGGAAGAGAAAAAACATCTGCAATCTTTGTGCTGCCTATCAACATCATAAACCCCACCTATAAATATACACCATTCTAAAACCTAAATAAGGCATGTTTAGCGTCAGATGTAACGCTACGCTGCATACCGTGGTGTAACCACAGTGATTTTCAACTTAAGCTGCTTGAAGATGGGTGAACTTCAACTCCCAGAATTCCCCAGCCAGCATTGGTCTACAACAGAGGTCTTCAAACGTGGCCGCTTTAAGACTTGTGGACTTCAATTCCCAGAATTCTCCAGCCAGCATAGCTATACACCATACATACTTGCACAAGATAACATAGTTATAATGCTAAACGTTACAGATCAGCAGAAGAAAGAATCCAGTTTAGGCTCATCCCTGAGCAACCTTTCTGATTTCCCTATTTAATTGCAAGGAGACAGCGGGAGGGGAAAAAAATCCTGTTAGGGAACCCGGAACCACCGACTCCACAACTTTCTTCTCTAGGGTAGTTTGGTATCCATGGAAGCGAGGAAAGAGGCTACATGGCGGTGGGGGGGTTGGTGGAGAGAGAGAGAGAGAGAGGGAGAGACGTTCTAGGATCTAGACTCGTTACAGGGAGGGGGTGTTTGTGTGGAAGGAGATGCCGCTCCTTCCGGCGCCGGCTGTTCTCCTTTCCCGCCGAGAGGTAAGCGGGTTTGGCGTCGCTCGCGGCGGCGTTGACTGGGCGGGAGGCTCCGCTCGCGAGGCCGGGACTTTTGAGTGGGCCTGGGGGTGGAGGTGGTGGGGAGGGCAGACGGGTTGGAGCTGCTTCGCGACCCTCTTCGCCTGCTGGGCTGTGGCTGAATGGCCGCCCTCGCCCCTCCGCCTGTTTGGAAGGGGAGCTGCTCCCGAGTTTCCCCTCAGTGCAATATGTGCGAGTGCAGTGTGTGTGTAAGAGGAGCTGCTCTCGAATTTCCCCTCAGTGCAGTTGTGTGTGTGTGTAAAGAGGAGCTCCTCCCGAGTTTCGCCTTAGTGCAATGTGTGCGAATGCTGTGTGTGTGTGTGTGTGTGCGTGCAAGAGGAGCTGCTCCCGAGTTTTCCCTCAGTACAATGTGTGTGTGTGTGTGTGTGTAAAAGAGGAGCTCTCCCGAGTTTTCCCTCAATGCAGTGTGTGTGTGTGTGTGTGGTGTGTAAAAGAGGAGGTGCTCCCAAGTTTCCCCTCAGTGCAATGTGTGCATCTCTGTGTGTGTGTGTGTAAGAGGAGCTGCTCTCGAATTTCCCTCAGTGCAGTTGTGTGTGTGTGTGTGTGTGTGTGTAAAAGAGGAGCTGCTCGAATTTCCCCTCAGTGCAGTAAGAGGAGCTGCTCCCGAATTCCCCTCAGTGCAGTTGTGTGTGTGTGTAAGAGGAGCTGCTCCCGAGTTTCGCCTCAGTGTGTGTGTGTGTGTGTGTGTGTGTAAAAGAGGAGCTGCTCCCGAATTTCCCCTCAGTGCAGTTGTGTGTGTGTGTAAGAGGAGCTGCTCTCGAATTTCCCCTCAGTGCAGTGTGTGTGTGTGTGTGTGTGTGTGTGTAAAAGAGGAGCTGCTCCCGAATTCCCCTCAGTGCAGTTGTGTGTGTGTGT